TTATCCTGGGGATAGCTGCTGGCCATCTCCATGATAGCTTGGTCAAGTGTGTTGAGAGAAAGCTTCAGAGACTCTCCTGACTCGTTCAGCTCTTCGTTTAGGTTCGGAAGGAACGACAGCCGTTGACCATGGTTATTGATCATGTTGTGCGGGTTCACAGTGATGCGGAAGATCTGTGAAAGTACTCGGTCGGCGTAATCGACGTCAGACTCGGGCTGAGTGTTGACGGGTTTTGGGGAGGCTCGATCCTCTGGAGCAAGGTCGTCAATCTCAGATGCCAATCTCTTGCGATTCACACGGGGGCTACCTGTTGGCTTCGGCGGCTCTGTCTTGACCCCTAGCTTGTTGAAAGGGTTCTGGCTAGAGGATGCCGCCGGAGCGGAGGAAGTTACATTAATCTTGGGCCTTGAATCGGCATCGGCTTGGGGCTTTGGCGTTGACGTTCGCGAAGGGTTGGCCGATTCGGAATCGGGAACCTTATTCTCATCCGACTTGGTAGACACGGGCGTCGATGTACCCAGCTTAGCGAGACGTCTTGCGCGAATCTAGAAACCATAGCTCAGCATACTCTCCCCATCATGAGTTCACCCAAAAGCAACTTGCCTGCTCCATCTTCTCCTTGTCTGGGGCATCGCCTCCCGTCCAGGATGGTTGCTCGTTGGGATCCATTGTCGAGGTGTACGGGTCGAGAATGGGATGGAAATGGAATGAGGAGTGAAAAGGGTAAAACGATGTCAAAGGCAAGAAGTTCGAGATGGATGACAAGGCTGAGACGGAGATGGGATATCTATGAGGTGTGGACCCAAGCCTCACAAGTACGTAGATAGATGGATGATGCCGAGCTTGGGGGACCTGAGGGTGGGGGAATCCCAGGCAGAACAGAGCCCTGGGCGTTAACTTTTGGCGGGCGAGGTGGGGCGGTGAGGCTGCCTGTTAACGTTGTACTTTAGTGGCTGCACACAGCTGTGGCGTTACTGCGATAGAGGTTGGCTGCAATAGAAGGACCTGTGCTGGAAGATTTGAAGTTCTCTTTACGGTTGATGGCAATGGTATAATATGGAATATGTTATCAGACAAAGAAATGCAACGGAAATTCCGGCAAGCTGGCTTAAAGATTTGGGTCAACACAATTAGCTATACCCAAACTCCGCAGTACTTTGTTAAACTCCGCTCGCTACGGCAACTGACAACGGCTTGCTGTGTAGGTTGTGATACAGTCATGTATAAGTGGGCTGCGCTCCGGACAGCTACTTCAAGAATTACACTCAATTGGGTCATATATTGATTAAGAAAGAACTCTGTTTTATTCGTTTGTCTTTCTTACACTTCAACCAAGAGATTCGCTTTGCTATTCTTTGATCAAGTGTTCGCGGTAAAGGTGGAAGCGAATGATAGAGTTATACATGACTGCAAGACAATGCGATCAACTCGATAATATCAAACTTAAATTGTCTGATTAGAAAATTCTATGATAAAATTTGACTATCAACGCAACGCTTGACCGTACCAGTTGCTAATGATTTTCCACCCAAGCCTGTATGTTGATGCTAGGGTATCCCATGAACCGTAAATGCGCCAGAAAGGAAATATAATTACAACAAAATGAAGTCTGGGGACAACAACAATATGCGATATAGTAAAGACCAGCTCGTCATAGACGGGGCAGGTCCGTCCCCTCGACACTAGCTGAGCGACGACGTTCCGAGAGACGGGGGCCTTCTACCGACCTGTCCCTCTGGAGAGTCGCCGTTGACCCGGAGCTCGCAGCCGCTCTTATGCGGCCTTCTTCACGGCTTCGGTTCAGGAGCCAGTTAACATGCATTCGGATCATGTTGATATTGTTTCGTAGTTCGGTCACCTCTTCGCGAATAGGCATGATTTGATTTATAGTCCACATGCTCTGTCGCGCCTCGAGGTGTGTTAAGTTCTGGTGAACTTCTTCGAAGCCAGCGTCGAGGTCCTGAATGGTGCGGTTGTCTCCTACGACAGACTCGCCAACACCTCGACGGCTGAGGGTTGAGTTGAATTCGGTTATGCGTTGGTTGGTCTCGTCCTGGCGGTTTTGTAATTGCTGGACTTGTTGACCCAAGTCGGTATAAGACTGGATGATTTCTCGTTGGGATCTGATGATCATTCCCGATGGTGTTTCTGGGTGGAATGCGCAGCCCATGGTATGTGAATCCATTTGCCCACGCATGACACGAGCTGGGCAACCAAACTCGCTATATATACAGTTTACAATGGCCCCTTCGCATTCCAGCTCATCATGGGCCTTGGTCTGACTGCGATAGACAAGCTTCCAGCAAGTCTCGCATCGAGTCTTACTCATGGGGCAAGATAATAGATGGAGCTCGCAGTCGGGAGCGTCGAAAGATGCTTTGCAGTGCTGGCATTTATCTTCTTTGTGTGGGCAGATATCGTCCGTAGGCTTGGATCGTAGCCTCTTATCGCAATCAACGCCGGGACATGTGAAGTCCTTGAAACGGCATTGTGTAGTAGCATGTACCTCGACAGCCTCTCGGCGTACTTCAGACTTGCATCCTCGTGCGTGATAAGGGCACTTGACCTTCATGTTGTTAAGCTGCGTTCGGATGAGTCGTGGCGCGCTGAAGCAATTGGGCCATGCTAGAGGTTCCCGGTCGATGGGGCAAGCGGTCCCTGATGGACTAGAATCAATGCTTTGCCGTAAACATCGATAGCAGAATGTGTGGTCGCAAGGAGTTGTAACGGGATCCACGAGAGGATCGTGGCAAATGGGGCACAGTAAGTTTGGGTCGGGTTCCGTGACGTATGTTAAAGAGTACATGTCAAAGATGCAGTTTCCTCCATAGCGTTTGGGGATTCCGAGAGAAGAAAGGTGAGGAGAAGCCATGGGTCCGGTCCGCCGGTCCGAGTTGACATTCGGTATTAATACACCTGAAGAGTATGAAGAATCGATACGGCCTCTAACATCTTGCCTGCCCTGATGAGGGAGCTGTGCTCCAACGTAGAAAGTATCTGGGGAGGGTGGCCTGACGAGGCTAGTAACAAGGTCGGGAGTTGGAGATTGGCGGCGTAGGTTGCGGCGAGCGAATCGACGAGCTGCAGCCGGACTTAGATGGATTCCATCATCGCTAGACTCAGAGGCTGATGTTAAAAGGGCAGGAGGAACAGCTGAAGATGATGATGGCGTAGGGGTCGGTTGTTGAGAATCTTGAAGGGCGGCAGTGGAGGTAGAAGCCGCCGTTGGAGGAGTTGTCGCCATGGTCGGTTAAGCGTTTCGGTCGGTGCTCGAATCCGAATAAGTCGACTACGTCTAGGCTAAACAGGAACTGAGCTGAACAGATGAGGTTGGAATTTCGAAGGCTTGAGGTCGAGACATGTATGCGTATTTAGTGTGCGACGTCGTGATGACGCTCAATAAGGAGGGGGGGTTGCTTGTCTTGATAGAAATGGGATGGGAGAACAGAAAAGATCTCGATGTGCACATCAGGTCTGTATTAGGTGGGAGGTAAAGCCGAGGAGAACGAGTGACAACGCCGTAACATGATGGTTTACACTAAGAATTTTAGCGAGCGAGTCTAGTAGGTTGCATTTTGGCGGGGTCGACAAAAGAAGCGGATCAGGAGAGAGAGAGAGAGAAATGCAGGGGTCGCATTCTGGAAAACCCGAGATAATCATGATCAATTGGGGACGAGGATCTGGAGAGGATCATGGGGAATTGATGGGTCTGTTGTGCTGTAAATATTTTATTTGATTCCTACCTAATTGATACTCCTTTATTTAGTACTGTCAAAGATTCTTGTGTCTTTTCAAAACTTCACCACCTTAGTAGATACATCTGACCCTTCCAGTCTCAAAAATACTCGTACCTGTCAGGGTCCTTGCTTAGCCTTTTTTGTCGATTACATCATTTCTTAATCATTTCGCCTTACTTCTTGTCCCCGCCCACCTCTAGGTAGGTAAGGTAAGGTATGCTTGTGTTGTCAGGTCTTGCGCTGGGCGACATAAACTCTTCCTCCTTAGGCTTGGCCTCACCGTTTATGACAGTTTTAAAAAACAGGGTCTTTCCACATTCCCTTCCAAAAGGAACAAGCTTCATCCACTTTGAGCCCGTTGTTTTGTTGGTTTAACGCCTTGGTTCAATTGCTTGGGCCTCTCTGCTTGACTCGTGAGAGCCCTGGTTTTTTTTACCAACGGCGACAATGCGAACCAGCAATCAGGCCTTACCTTGTCTTGTCTGGTCCAGGTACGCTAGAGCTGCAGTGTCAGGTTTGACAGCTCTCGATGTGTCCCCGATACTTCCATCTGTTGAGTCACCTTGAACGCTCTCTGTGTTTGTTTTTGGTCCCTACAACTACCGCCTGTCTATGCGGTTCCGTAACTACCGGCATTCAGAGACAGGCTAGACAAAAAGGCCCGGGATCTACGGCTCCGCAATGGAGTTTAGAGTTTGCCAAATCATGGAAAACGGTCTTGTCATGTCGGAAAGAGGTAAAAAAAGGGTTGATAACCGACGGAACAATGATATAATTGGAAACATTTATTCTAGAGGTTAGTCACTGAGTCATATACTTCATCTCCAACATGGTTCTTCTTGCTAGCAGTCGAATGTTCTAGCATCAGGTCTTGTCTGAAGCTATTTAGACAGGGCGTCATAAAACCATAAAAGACTTGGCAAAGATGATTATTCCTTGTTGTTTAAGAGTAGTGATCCATCCAAATTTCCAACTAATATGACAGACAGATAAGAATCTGTTCTTATCTCATGTTAAATTGGGGGGATCTGGTGTTCTGATGGAAATATTGGAGAAATTCAACTGACTATAGGGTATGACCTGGATGAACAAGGGTATAGCATACAAACTCAGCCCCCAATTATGAATTCTGCCTCTTGTTGAGCCTCACTTTCTCTTCACTACCTACTACCTAGGCTTCCACGAGGCATCTGGCATAGCTGACGTGGCAGACATTGACCCGAGTCTGATTCGACTCTCGTAGCTGCAATACAACGTCAGACAATGAGCCAAGATGTCGTTATTGCTGCAGATGATGAACGCGTGAGTGAATATACAGCCTCAAACTGAATAAAAGAGCGGATCGGATCAGCTAAACTGTCAACTTGCGGCTTAAAAAATCAAGTTATTCACTCACTCCTGCTCTTGTGGGCATGCAATTGCTCCTCTAGTTCTGACCGAATTTTGGCCCCCATTCGCTGCTTTAAAGACCTTGACAGCCTTATTTCACACCAGGAACTATCGGATTTGGCCGGATAATCATGATCAGTGACAATCTGTTCACAATGATTACCAATAACAAATTCCTGAAGGACAACAATTTGACGAACTAATGTATGAATAAAGTGCATTGATACACAGCCACATAAAAAAAGAGTCCCTTTCACAACCCAAACTATAGACCAGGCCACTAACAAGACTCAAAAAGGCATCATCCTGCAGCATCGTCCAAACCGATTTCCCTTGTTGTTGCCTAATCACCCACAACGCTTCTTTATGCACTGCACCCTCCCTCTTTCAACCAAAAGATAACACAGCCTTGTGCACCGCATGAGCGGGCTCTCTGTACGTTGTGATGGTCTAGTAAAAGCGGCGGCTCACAAAAGGCCAAGGCAGATGGATGGACTGCATGCCATGCTACACTTGCAGTACGCTTCGCGCAATCGTATATACGACGCGGAGATGAATTACTGTTACCTTGATCAGCAGACAATCGAATCGTTCTCCAGGTATCTGAGTAACAAAGGTCGGCAACCAATGAGTGTTAATAACTGGCTATGGCTGAGTATATAGAGTTCGGATGCCTACCCCCTGGGAGACTTCATCTTTAAATATTCGAAAAATCACTACTTAGATTTCATCCCCAAATTTACAAAACTAAGTACCCTTTGATCTACAACTATGAAACCTTCGCAGCCTCCTCCCAATGGCCAACCGGCCCCAAACTCCCCTGCCAAACCAAAACGCAAGAACATCAACCCTCAAGCTCTTGTCTCAAAGTTCTGGAAAAAGTATCACTCCAAGACTCCCGGCAAGGTGACCTCTATTTTCCCTCAGAGTCTATACGACTCTCTCCTTACAGACGCGGACTCATCGGAGCCCAAAACTCGCAACGCGGCGCAGAGCTACGAGGCTGCTGCTAAGGACTGCCGTGCTCGAGTTCGTGCCGTCGTCAAAGAGTGCGAGCGTACCAATGCCAAGTTTAGCGACCCGGACTTTGATATCGAGTCCGATTTTGCGTCGCACCAGGACAATTGTCTCTTTGGCCTCGTCAGAAATACCTGCCCTATCTGCGGAAGCGATAGTGATGATGATGAGGACATAGAGTACGCTTCCACGAGTGATGCTCGACGAACTAAGAAACCTCGCGATCGTAAGGCCGGCGGCAATTCAATAAGCAAAAAGCGTGATAGCAATAAAGACAGCCTGCGAGGAGACGGCCCTTACCATGGGGGCTTTGTCTGCCGGCAAAAAAGGCCTGGTTCGGTTCATCGTATCCCCTGGATATTTGAAAACCCCCAGTTCACCGTCGACGGCTTCTCCAGCTCAGACATCAAGCAGGGTGCGACCGGCAACTGTTGGTGGCTGGCTGCTCTCGCAACTATCGCCCATCGAAAAGACCTGATGAAAAAGATATGCGTTGCACGAGATGAAGAATGCGGCGTCTACGGCTTCGTCATCTACCGCGATGGAGAGTGGATATCGACTGTCGTGGACGACAACTTGTACTTGAAGTACAGGGACTTTGGAGAGGACAGCCAAGTCTACGACGCAACCCTCAAGAAGGCGCGCCAATATAAAAATCAGAAGCAAACAGGTTCCGAAGCTTTGTACTTTGCCAAGTGCGAGGACCCCAACGAGACCTGGTTACCCCTGCTGGAGAAAGCAGTGAGTTAGCAAATGTGATTATGCGAGACAGAAGCTAACGTTCATAGTTTGCCAAAGTTCATGGCGATTACCAGTCCATGGAAGGCGGATGGGCTGGAACAGCTGTCGAGGATCTCACAGGCGGCGTAGCCACAGTGGTCGCGGGAAATAGAGTTCTTCGCAAGGAGCGACTGTGGCGAGAAATGCTTGGATCAGATGGATCAGATGGAGAGTTTGTTTTTGGCCTGTCTGCAGGTGGACCTGGAGACGAGCACAAGAACGGCATTGTCCTACAGCATGCTTATTCCGTGCTCAGAGTCGCTGAAGTGCAGAACGAAGACGGTGTCAAGTTTCGCCTGGTCAAGATTCGGTAAGCATTTCTTCATCGGCACTGTGTCAGCCTCTAACATATCTAGAAACCCCTGGGGACAGAGGTCCGAAGCCGGCCAAGGCGAGTGGCATGGCCCATGGTCAGATGGTTCCAAGGAGTGGACCCCGTACATGATCAAGAAGCTCAAACACGAGTTCGGCGACGACGGAGTCTTTTGGATGTCATTCAATGACATGCTCGACAACTTCAAATGGATGTACAGAACCCGACTCTTTGATGAGCGATGGACTGTGGCTCAGCAGTGGTTGAGTGTCAGTATCTCGTGGCTTACCGGCTACCTTAAGAAGAAGTTTGTTATTGAGGTCGAGGAAGAGGGCATGGTGGTTATTGTTCTTTCACAGGTATGATCCGTCCCTGAGAGACACGTCTAATACTAATTTCTTGAAGCTTGACGAACGCTACTTTACCGACCTTAAGGGGCAGTACGAGTTCGCTCTAAGCTTCCTCATCAAGTCATCGGAAAGCAATAATACCATCTGCACCGTGCGTCCAGTGCACCAGTGGGATCGACGTTCGATCAACTGCGAAGTCGAACTTGAACCGGGCACCTACGAAGTCATTCCCAAGATCATGGCGGAGCGGCTTGTTTGGCGGCCAAGAGTGGAAAAAATGGTCAAGAGAGCTGCAGACGAGAACCCAAAGAAGCTACGCCAGATCGGTCTACAGTATGACCTAGCCCACGCAAAGGGTGGGATTCTAGATGAGGATGAAGCTCTTCGTAAGAAACGTGAGGCTGAAAAGAAGAAGAAACTCAAGGGTAAGGAGCAAGAGGTCAAGAAGAAGCAAATGACTGAGGCGATGGCGCGAATGGAGGAAGCGATGGTGGCTATGAGGAACGAGTACAACCAATACCTCAACGAGAAAGAGAACGAAAAGGATAAGGAGAAAAAGGAAGAGCCTGCTGAAGAGGATGAAGAGAAGAAGAATGATGACGAAACTGAGCCCAAGGAACCTGTTGTCGAGACTAAAGACAAAGCAAACCAGGCGCCTCCAGGGTTTTGGCCAGAAGATTCTCCCAGCAAGGGCGACCTGGACGTTTCGAAACATTCCGAAACACCAGTCGAGCCAAGGAAGGAGTCGTCGTCTTCGCATGATACGAACGAGGCGACGGAAGAAAAGAAAAGAATGCCTTTCCGAATCCCATCTCCTCGTGGTAACCGTCGCGGTATTCCGCCACCTCCGATCCCGTATCAATATCAATATCAAGACCAGAGTCCTCTTCGCAACGATAGGCGAATGACCATTACCGACTACAGCATGGACACATACCCCGTGTTTACACCACCCACGGAACCCACGTCCGAGTCGGATCTTGACAGCTCAGCCTCTGGTTCTGGTTCCGATACCGCATCTGACGATAACAACTCGTCAAGCTCAGATAGCGATGGCATGAGCCTCTACCCGCGTCGACGGTTTCGCCAGCGCAAGAAGCAACCCTGGAATGCCGTGTGCGTGATTGGCCTTCGTGTCTATGCTCAGCACGCAGGCATCAAGGTACGTCTTGCTGACCAGAAGCGCGACGAGGCTACTGAGCTTGTCGCACCAGAGGCAAGCAGCGCGGCTGGTCCGACCGAGTAGTCACTAACTACTGAGCTTGAAACTGATGAAAGATGGATGGATGGATACGGAGATGAGATGAATTTGGGAGTGGAGGCTACTGTACGGGGCTGGTAGTAAATTTGAGTTTGGACCTGTGGAGGATGATCGGTATTTCGACAGAGATCTACTCAATTATCCCCTAACGCACATAGCGACGTTTGTTATTTTATTTTTCCAGTAGTTAGTTAAAAAGAATGGCACTATCATTTCTCATATCATGTGGTGGATGTGTATCTTTCTGCTCCATACTTGACTTGGGTTATGATCCGAAGTGCAATTTAACGTCGACGTGACTCGAGTCATTCAACCTTGGATTGTGTGACAGATTACAATTGACTACTTTGAACATGCTTGTTATCACTTTGTTTGGTTAATATGTCATCTACTATTTGCAGCCGTGTTATCCCCATGTTTTGAATTAACTGATTGATACAAACCTTGACTTCAATATGCAAAGAAACATTGCCATTTTTAATTATTGGTGGAATAGAAAATCCGCATCAACGTTAGAGATTAAAATAAAAAAAGAAAACAATCGTGTATATCATTTCTGGAATAGTTCACCGTTTAATGTTTGAACCATCTCATCTCATTTTTTTATGACCTGTTTCGATGCGCACGGCCTTTGAGCGACTGTTTCATCTTGATTTCATCTTTTGGTAGAAGCGTTCTCGTTTCACCATCCTCGTCAGCCTCCTCGGGATCTACCAGAATGATCTACCAAAATCGTTTCTCTTGACGTGCACGGAGCAGAAATTATCAATCCAGGGCGCGAGATTGATGAGCACCTCGGAAGCTTCTCCCAAGTTGGGAAAGTTTTGCGGTTGGACGACATCTAGAATGAATCTATCGTGATGACTGCATCGCTAAGGATCATGAGTAGGTAGGAGAAGAGGTTCAAGCGTCAGGAACAATGCGTATATAATCTAGACCCAAGCTCGTCTTCAAGATTTCGAAATCAGATTCATCTCAACTCAGTAGCCTCTTCTACATTCTTTATACCTATTCCCTTTTTACATTCGCTTCTTATTCAAACCAACCTCTTTCGTTTCAACAGCCTGAAAATCTTCATCATGCTTTACACATCTATCATCGTTGCTCTTGTTCCTTTCGCAGTGGCTGGTCCCATTGCTCCCCGAGCCGGCCTCGGCAGCGGACTCCCTGGCCTCGGAGGCGGCTCTGGCTCTGGTCTCCCCAGTCTCCCCAGTCTCGGAGGTGGTTCTGGCTCTGGTTTGCCCAAGCTTCCCGGCCTAGGAGGTGGTTCCGGTGCTGGTGGTCTTCCTAGCCTTCCCAGTCTTGGTGGCGGTTCTGGATCTGGTGGTTTGCCTAGCCTCCCAGGCCTTGGAGGCGACTCTGGCTCTGGCTCTGGTCTGCCCAGTCTTCCTGGACTTGGAGGCGGCTCCGGCTCCGGCCTGCCTAGTCTTCCTGGCCTCGGAGGTGGCTCGGGCGGTCTCCCCAGCATCCCCGGACTTGGAGGGGATGACTCTTCAGATGAGTCCCCCAGCGCTACTGCTCCCAGCGTTGTGGCTCCCACTGCTTCCCCTCAGACCTCTCCTACTGCCCCTAGTGGCTCTACTGGAGGATCTGCTGGTACGGATGGCCCTGCTTCTCGCCGCGGCTTCTTTGATGGTGGTTCATCTGGATCTGGCTCTCCCCTCTCTGGCTTTCTGGGATCCGGCGGCTCTTCTTCTGGCGGCTCTTCCGGAGACTCTTCTTCCGGAGGTGCGTCTAGCTCTCCCTTTGGTAGTTTCCTAGGATCCGGTGCCGGTGGACTTGGCGGCTCTACTATGAACGACCTCAGCGGCGACTGCAAGGACGTCACTGTCATCTTTGCCCGTGGTACCACCGAGGCTGGCAACGTTGGTACAGCTGCTGGACCTCCCTTCTTCAAGGCCCTTGGCGAGAAGATTGGCCAGGACAAGCTCGCTGTTCAGGGTGTCGACTACAGCGCCAGCGTTGCTGGTATCATGCAGATGGGCGACAAGGCCGGCTCTGAAAAGATGTAAGTCAAACCCGCCATACCTAAAAAGAGTAACACGATACTAACAGAGAATAGGGCGAGCCTTGTCACGGAGGCTGCTAAGAAGTGCCCCAAGACCAAGATTGTCATGTCTGGATACTCGCAAGGAGCTATGCTGGTGCACAACGCTGCCAGGGCTCTTCCTGCTGAGACCACTGCCAAGGTTGCTGCCGTCCTCAACTTCGGCGACCCTTGTAAGTTCAATATATCGACGAGAAAGATTATCAAAAAGCTAACAATGTTACAGTCCAGAGGCAGGCCATCCAGGGCGTCTCGGCTGATAAGGTCAAGATCATCTGCCACGCAGGCGATGGTGTCTGCGCCGGTACTGCTGCCATCACTCCCGATCACCTTACCTACAGCAAGGATGCTGGTGCTGCTGCTGAGTTTGTTGCCAGCAAGGTGCAATAAGCAACACTTTGTGTGAATGACACATTGGTGCAATGATGAAGGACTGCCGGGGCCGGGCTCTCGGTGGTGAAGGATGAATTTCTTATGACTTGTCTATTATTCTAGCTACTATATACTTTCAAACTGTCGTTTTGTATGTCAACTTGTCTTTTGTCAAATGATGTCTAGTGAATGATGAGTTGTAGAGAAAATTTAAAGGCTCTGACTGTAACATCTAGTTACTTTTATTGCGAGATTTAACAAATTTGTCTTTTTGAAACATGCCTGTCTGTATGATAGGCAGTGTAGTGTAAATTGAAGAATGATACATACGACCTGGGAGCACTTGCGAAGACTGAGAATATAACATGTTGTGCTGTATAAGGGAAGGATTCCCCAGACCAGCCTGTTATATCTGTCCCAACTGTAGCATAATGTCGTGCGATTAACCAAGCACTGAGGAAATAATACAAGCTCTCTATGAACGATAATTCATGTTGTCTCAGAAAGGGTAGAAACTGAGGCGTAGTGCTGATGTTTTGTGAATATATATGCAAACAGACGAGTTCTCTTCAACAAACACTGGGGATATGGTGTAGGGGTATCACGTTCGCTTTGCATTGTTTCGAATGCTTGCGAAAGGCCGGGGGTTCAAATCCCTCTGTCTCCAAAACTTTTGCCGTTCTGACTACGCTCATTTTTTAGTGTAGAAGTGGACATCCATTGCAACTCTATTTTTAGTCTTGACAATCCCAGACAAGTACCGAGGTACAAGGGCAGGCGTGCCATTGTCCTATCTCAAAGGCTGTAGAAATGGAATTTGTTATCTTTTGTCAACTCTTGCCTATTGTTGACAACGTTGGTCAGAGGCAACTCATAAAACCATGAATAAGCGAAAAGAACCGCATCAATTTATGATATCCAATCACCATGAATTTGATTTGACCTGTCAGCCAGGATGCAGCATGTGATGTTTGACTTGTCAGGGGTGCTGCATTGATTGATTACTGGGTATATGTACACGTGCCGCCACAAGCCATGAATCATGTGAACCGCATGGGAACAAAGCCTGCATTCCTTTTTAGCTTCTTATTCCAGGATTCGGGGCATTTCTTCTAGATAATTGATAATTCCAATGAAAGAGGCTTGAAGTGATGTGATAAGGAGAAAAGATGTCAAGTTGTTTGTCTCACGTGCATAAACTTGATCAAGATATTGTCCTTGTCTTGTATTGTTAGGAAAATAGTCGAATTGTTCCTATTTCCGAGAATACCGTATCTACGTCATGTCCTCCCCCACAGAATTACCCCCGCGTGTCTCTTTTTAACCAGATTCCGGGGGAGACTTTCACATGTCAACGAGCTTGGAAATGTTGATGCGATACTCTAAAGAACCAAGTTGTCACGAGTCACGAGCCCGTCATCCTACTCGGCTCCGAGTCCGAATTGAGCTTGGGATCATTATTTGTTTGTAATGATTGAGCCTTACTTTTGTGTTTACACTGCCTCCTAGTTAGAAGCCTACAATGCAATTTGACTTTTCTTCTTCCTCTTCTCTTGCTTCATTCGTATCGTCTACCTTAGACAGGTAGAAACTCTCACCTAAGCTACTACCCATCAACAAGACCGTTACAACGTTTTAATTAGCGATATCTCACAACCCTTGTCCTATCACCTCCGAGGGTGTTCGAGTCGTGTTTCTTTCATGTGAACGGCTGTCAATTTACCCGAGAAGACTAACGACACCATGTGCTTGCTTGAATCCTAACTAGTTTCTCTTTGTCTGTTCTTCTACTTTCCTCACATATTTATTTCAAACCGTTCAAATAATACACATTTAGACCTGATCTGGTCATCATGATAGATCACGTCTTGGGACGGCCCTCGGTCAAGTCTCGAAGGCTTCAAGTCCTAGCAGTTTTGACCTTTTGGTCCGCCTATCTAGTCAAGTAAGACCTCCCAGATTCTCTCTTTTCTTTAATGTACTTACGCATACCATAGAGGCCACAAACATGGTCCTCCCGGCGCTCAGTTTTTCTCAAAACTCTTCTCCAGACGTCTCACACCATGGCAAACCGTCGTGATAACCATGATCTACTTGTACGCCGCCCGCAACTTCAGCACCCTCGTCGGTCTCGCCAGCCCAGAGCCCTTGGCCAACATGTACGACGCCACCTACTACCGGGCCACGTGGGTCCTGACCGCGCTGGACGCTGGTTTCTGGACAGCCATGAAGATCAAGACAAAGTGGCTGCGCGACATGGCGAGCATCGTCTTCTCGCTCTTCTACCTCGTTGCTGCTGAAAAGGCCGACGAGAAAGTTCGCAAGGTCCGAGGCATGATCACGGTCGAGCATATGCGCGTGTCCTGGAACAAGGGCACCTCACCGTATCTGAGTTTCTTCCAGGGTCTTATGCGACCGCGTTTTATGCGGTGGCCTCCGAGGCAAATTAGGATCCCCCGGCCTTCCGATAGCGATTACAAAGAGCCTGTCCTTGCGTGGCTGTACTACGACGGACCTTTGTCGGATCTGGAGCGTCATGATAGGATAATTCTAGATATTCCGGGTGGTGGTTTTGTTGCGATGGATCCTCGCTGCAACGACGACAAGTTATTCTCATGGGCGGCCAAATCAGGACTTCCTGTCCTGAGTCTCGACTACAAAAAGGCACCCGAATTTCCATATCCGTATGCGCTGAATGAGTGTTTCGACGTTTACAGGACTATTATCAATACCAAGGGTCGATGCGTTGGCCTGCCAGGAACAGAAGTGCCTCGAGTTATCGTGACAGGCGATAGCGCTGGAGGTAACCTTGCAGTCGCGGCAACTTTGATGATTATGGAAACAAGACACCCGGCATTTCGAAGACCAGGACAGGCAGACTTGCCGGCTCCGGATGGACTCATCTGCTTCTATCCTGCGCTGGACATGAATATTGGCAACTGGATGACCGACGAACAAATGTCTCTCATCAAAGATCGCAAGACGAGAAAGACGAATCGCAGAATCATGCGACGAAAGAGTATGCAATACAACGAGTTGGTGGGAACTCCTCACCACTCTGATGACGAAGAAGATGGATCACCGCCACCAGATACTAAGTTGAGTGGCAAGTTGAACGGCTTGACGACAAAAGAGGCTTTGATTGCGGCTTCTCAAGGACCCAAAAGCCCACACCCAGAGTTCTCGCACGTCGGACCTCGATCTTTGAGCTTCCCAAAGGAAGCCCTAGAAGCCAACGGAAAGAATTCATCTCACCATGTTGAACCAATGAAGACAAGACTGGCCACATCGTCAATGATCTCCTACTTTAACGATCGAGTGCTCACACCAGAAATGATGAGAGCAATGATCATCTTGTATATCGGTGCACATAACCGCCCCGATTTTAGCCAGGACTACCTCCTTAGCCCTGTCCTCGCACCCGAAGCCTTGCTGGTTGACTTTCCTAAGACATACTTTATGACAGGAGAACGAGACCCTCTTGTCGACGACACAGTCATTTTTGCAGGAAGACTTCGCCGCGCGAAAGAAACTGCGTTCGCACAGGAACAAGCAGGAAGCAACGGATTAGAGTTCAACGACCGGGATGCTGCGGAAGTGATGCTAATCCCTGGAACATCTCATGGCTTTATGCAGTTCCCGACTGTGTATCCTCCTGCTTGGAGACACTTTGAACGATGCGTCGAATGGTTTGATCAGCTTTTTGAACATGCACATGTCATGCGCGTGCGAAAAGATAGACAATCCCGAGCTGCAAAGTCGCAGACCAATGGTTTCGGTGTTAACGGTGATGGAAGACATCACCAACGCACAGAATCCAGCGGAGAAGAGGATAAGCCGCTGGAGATCAGCATGACAAAGATGAATCAGCGACGAAGCTCGAATCAAGCCTCGCCGCCTATACAGAAACAGGATTCTGTGTCATCGGAAGTGAATGATGGTAGTGGAAGCGGAGACACGACGCCGCGAGCATACACAAATGGGTATCCTCTTACGAATGACGATAAGAAGAATGCATCTCGACGGAAGAGTGTGGGCTTGAACAAGAGTAGGAATAGAAACAAGAGTCTTGTCAAGCTTAAGAGCTCTGATGATCTGCTTGGCCGACGTATGCAGGGTCTTGCAAGTGGACTGACAGGGATGGTAGGTGATGATGATTGATTTGGGGGATGCATGGCTGGTGTTTATTGTATTGCATAGTGATTTATATCGATGAGATGCATTGGGTATATGGAGGAATGATACAGGGGGTGAGTTGGGAAAGGCATATATTTCTGCATTGTTGGACTTACGAAGATATGATGACTGTCTGTAGATACACAAAGGACACCCTTAGAATAACTGACCATTTGAATCAACATATGTACTATGAATTGCTAGAATGCCCAACTTCTGAAAGACGGAGGACAGGTAATTGTTGGCTTATTCGTTTTTTCTGCAGATGATTTCATCCCACCATCATGCTGACCAAGGTCTCAAAACAGCCTCGCCATTACAACCCAAAGCATGAATCCCAAGTCATCGTTGAAGCCGTAGCTTACGGACAGTGGCCGAGAGGAATACTATGATGGAGGCATCGAGAACATAAAAGGGGGCGGACGGACCGTGTTTGCGTCAGTGTTTCTCGGTGAGTAAAAACACGCAACTCATGATGGGAAAATAAGCGGGAATTGGGCCGATTGGACATTGATAAACCCCTGATGGTTTTTGATCTGGGGAGCCTTGGTTGGGCTGAGCAGGACACGCCACTTGGATCGGGTCATTATTTCAGACGACAAGGCTCCAAGGTATTGTAAGATAATACGTGGTGAGAATAATGATATAGTTGACCCTTACTCGGTGACCTTTGGTGGCCTCGTGTCATGTAATCCTTCTTGTGATGGGTGCTAAGGTAGGTATTGAATAATCGTGGGAGACCCAAGCCTGCCTGGTAGCCAGAATACCTCCATACTAGTCTAGTGAACTTTTCATCGTTTCAGGGCGTTTCTCGGTATTATTTGCTTCATACCAGTGTTATACTGTTTATTCAGCACTATAATTTGGCTGACAGAACCATTAATAGGTGCTGTACGAAAGACGGCCGGGGATGTGGATCCGATAGCCCAGTTTTGCCGACCGGCAGCCTCCGTGATTGGGCCGCTCATGTCGCCCGGGGCTTCCGGCATTCCTATTCCTATCCTTTCAGCCCTGTAAATAACTAAATTCATATTTATGAACATAACTATTCCTCAGAGCCGATGATCTTTTTCAAAGAAAATGGTAGAAATAATATTTAGGACCAACAGTAATACGTAGCATGACGTCCATTTGGTTCTAGAGTAACTAAATCACACCGACTTTACCTAGGAAATACCCTCACAACCATGCAACGTTGTTATACAGACGAAACCCAGCAAATAGGATCACATTCCATAACTCAAGTCTGCACCCCAATAGAGCAAGGATTCCATCTCTGATCCGATACGATTGCTTCATCTTTTATCCGTGTTCTACCCCTTTGTTGGAAAATACCATGTCTTATGAGGCGAGAAGAAAAACATCAGGTGCTTTTCACCCCCAATTTGACCCCAATTTTGACCTTATCCATGCCCAAGGTCCAGAACCCCAATAACCGCGTGTTTTCATAAGAAATATCCTTTCTTTTGCTTGCGGCTTTATGTCACTAAAACAAGACACGTACCTGACCGAGTTTCCTAATTAAGTAAGTGCAAGGTGAAGGGAAGTGAGAAGCAAGGTGAGCTGATCTGCCCTAACCTGGCATGACCTTGAAAGGACAAGCAAGACCCAAAGTTGCGGGCTTTCTAACGAAACACGAATATTACCACTCATTTCCTTATTGAGACCAAAACCGTGAGGCCGCCCATACTAAGCCTGAAGAAAGTAAATAATTTGGTAGAAATACATGAGGGATATACAAAAGAACCAATACTATCACGGAGACAGAAAGGTCACTCATCACTCCCTAGTAGTATCACCAAAGACAAGGGGAGCCACCGTAATCGTCATCGTCATGCTCAAGAGACAAAAGCACAGACAAAGCGGATGTAAACGGGGCGTTTACTTGGTTGGTGCAGATCATGTAGTTGTCAGGTATCTTTTGTATCTGTATTCATTGACTTTGTACAACGTATAATACGTTTTTGGATGTAAACAACTGGGCTGTGCTTCGTTCCCAAGCTCATACAAGATTCAGGTACCGTACATACCGCTTTAGGGGCCTCACTCAATGGATAGGTAGACTGGATGGATATCTTATGCACCCCCGTGCCGTATTTCCATGCTCCTATTTTGGAGGCATTTATTTATTCACGTACTTTTGGTAGAATGCTTTAAAAAGTCGGTGTCTCTGCCTCTTTGTAAATCTGTTTTTTTTTTCACCCGTCTCACTCTTAGTATCAACATATATTTACCACTCAACTCTACTCTTGTATTCCAAGAGATATCACTTTGATATCCATCGCATTATCTCCCCATACATCGTGTATTACACGTCCTTCTACCACCCAAACTTTTCATATTGCCGACCTTTCCGTTTTACCCCTCAACTGAACTCTTTCTACTCTGTACTAAGCAGAACAATCTGCAACATACCGTCATTGCCAAAGGAGTCAACCAACTAGACAAGCCATATCCAAGCTATAGTTAGTAGCTACACGAAACTGGCTGCTCCCGTTTTCCGTATTAGGCCTATCGCATCAAACCTTTTTGTCTCAATTGTTTACATACAAAAGAGCTATCCCTCTTCTTTTATTACCCCTCCTTCACCATGAGTCTCGTTCAGCAATCTGAAAGTGCGTCGCCTGTTCCAATTATTGAAACTGATGATCACGGCAATCCCATAAAGTCAAGTATAACAAACGAATATTTCCCTTCTAAAGGAAAATCTTCATCGCTTGTTGGCGACATGGCTCACCTCTCTGTCGTTGGCGGTATTCATCGCGGAGACGACTCTGACGCCGCATCCGTCCGCTCAACCAGCTCCCGAGCATCACGGAAGCCTCAGATGAAGCTGGCGAGCTACCAGGATGAGTTCACCACCAGCGTCTACGGATCTCGCTTTGCGGGCATGGATCTTCCCAGACATCATATGCCAGAGAATGAAATGCCCCGCGATATTGCCTATCGCATGATCAAGGATGATCTCAGTCTTGACAACAACCCCATGCTCAAGTATGTTTTGTCCACTACTCTGTAGCATGACGCTTCATTTACGAGATTAACTGCTAATTGCTGTTTTCAGTCTGGCTTCTTTCGTCACAACTTACATGGTACGTACAAGAAATAATCAACTAAATCCTTGGACTTTTCTGGTTCCGGCCAAGTCCATTCAATGCCAAGCCATCACCATCAGATCTGACCCTCCGCCCCATAGCGGAGACGGAACCATTTCTTGGCGATGGTGACAGGACGCTACAACACTAAACTACCCCACAACTCTTCTGAATAGCTTCACTAACACTTTATCCAGGAAGATGAAGCCGAGAAGCTCATGGCAGAGTCCTTCTCCAAAAACTTTATCGATTATGAAGAATACCCTCAATCTGCCGACATCCAGAACCGATGTGTTAACATGATCGGTGACCTTTTCCACGCGCCTCCTGGTTCTTCAGTCGGTACTTCAACTGTTGGTTCCTCAGAAGCCATCATGCTCGGTGTTTTGGCCATGAAGAGGCGCTGGAAGAACCGCAGACTAGCCGAGGGCAAGAGCACCGAGCATCCCAACATCGTCATGTCCTCTGCCGTCCAGGTCTGCTGGGAAAAGGCCACTCGCTACTTCGAGATTGACGAGAAGCTCGTTTACTGCACGCCTGACCGCTTTGTCATGGATCCCGAACAGGCCGTTGACCTGTGCGACGAGAACACCATTGGTATGTGTGCTATTCTCGGAACAACTTATACCGGCGAGTACGAGGATATCAAGGCTATAAACGATCTCCTCGTTGAGCGCAATCTTGATATCCCAATTCACGTCGACGCTGCCAGCGGAGGCTTCGTGGCTCCCTTTGTGGTTCCTGACCTAGAGTGGGATTTCCGATGTGAAAAGGTCGTCTCTATCAACGTCTCGGGTCACAAGTACGGTCTCGTCTATCCTGGTGTTGGCTGGGTCATCTGGCGATCTCCCGACTTTCTCCCTCAAGAACTCGTTTTCAATATCAACTACCTCGGCGCCGACCAATCCTCTTTTACCCTCAACTTCTCCAAGGGTGCATCACAAGTCATCGGCCAATACTACCAGCTCATCCGCCTCGGCAAGCACGGTTACCGCGCCATCATGAGTAACCTCACCCGAACAGCAGACTACCTGACAGAAACACTAGAGAATCTAGGTTTCGTCATCATGTCAGAACGTTCAGGCGCTGGTCTCCCCCTCGTTGCTTTCCGCTTCAAGACCACCGACGAGGGCGGCGACCCTGACCGTTACTACGACGAGTTCGCCCTTGCTCACCACCTGCGCTCTCGAGGCTGGGTTGTCCCTGCTTACACCATGGCTCCCAATTCTGGTGTAAAGATGTTGCGTGTTGTTGTCCGAGAGGACTTTACAAAGAGTCGATGTGACCAGCTTATCTGCGATGTCAAGCTGTGCCATGGTCTTCTTAAGGAGACAGATCAGGAGTCGATCAAGAAGCGTGAAGAGTACATCAAGAACCATATTGTTGCCATGGGGCGTGGAAAGCACGCTCACCCCGTTTACAAGGTAAGTTATCAACCGGTATTCCACCCAAAATCCCGCGACTAACGATTTCTAGGACGAGCAACATTCTCTTCAGGGCAAGCATGGCAAGACACACGCTATTTGCTAGAGCGGCATAGAAAGGATGGATTATTTGGGAAGGTTTTGGCGTTGAGCGATGTGATGAGGCGTACTATGTATATGAATGAAATATGCATCGATTTTGAACAATACCATGTTGGACAAGCTCCCATATTTTTATTGTCGATGAGAAGAGACTCCTAATTTCCATTCTGACTCAACTTGGATGGAAAGATTGAGCTCTGACTTTCACTTTACGTTTCCTGTAGAGCACGTAGCACCTCCCAGGACATGTAGGATAACGACGTAAAATGGAAATCAGTATATGCATGGTATCTAGCTTTTTATCTAGCTCCGCTCTCGTCAAAAATCTACTTTTAACCCTTTAATCATAAACACCATATAACCCGAAGAGAAGTACACACTCTCTTATCGAGTAGCAGCAATAGCAGCCTCCACAATATCCAGTCCCTGATTAATCTCCTCATCCGTTACAGTCAGGCTGGGCACAAATCGCAATGTGTTGGTACCGGCGGTAATGATGAGCAGACCACGCTCACGAGCAGCCTTAATGATAGGCGAAGGATCCTCAGATAATTGTAGCCCGAGAATTAGACCTCGACCACGAACCTCCTTGACAAGGTCAGGGTATTGGCTCTGTAGCTTGGCGAAACGCTTCTTGAAAATTTCTGACTTGGCCTTGACATCAGCCTGGAGCTGCTTGTCGGCAAGACGGCCGACGATGTAGTGTGCTAGTCGGCAGGCCAGAGGGTTTCCACCAAAGGTGGTGCCGTGGTCGCCAACCTTCATCTTATCAGAGACATCCTGCGTCACTAGAACAGCACCGATGGGGAATCCGTTGCCGAGAGCCTTGGCGGTTGTGAGAATATCGGGGTGAGCCTCCTTGGGCAAGTTGCCGTGAGCCCAGAATGTGCCTGTACGGCCGAGACCGGACTGAATCTCGTCGTAGATGAGAACAGCGCCAACCTCGCGACATCGCTTAGCAAGTGCAACGAGGAACTCCTCATTCGCAGGTGTAACACCGCCCTCACCCTGGATAGGCTCCACGATAACACCGCACGTCTTCTCAGTGACCAGCGCATCGATGCCTGAAATGTCATTGAAATCGCCAGTCTTGAAGCCGGGGACCATGGGAGAGAAGGGCTTCTGGTACTTAGGGTTCGGGGTCGCGGACAGACTGCCCATGGTTCGGCCGTGGAAGCCGTTGTTGAAGGATACGATCTCGACTTTCTCGCCTGAGGGGTCGACAATCTTGCCGGACTTTCGAGCGAACTTGATGGCGGCTTCATTGGCTTCGGATCCAGAGTTGCAGACAAATACTGAGGCGGCGTTGTGCATGGCACCAGACTCGAGGGTCTTTTCGATGAGGAGCTTCGATAGAGCGCCAGTCCATGGGTTGTAGTAGAGGTTGGAAGCGTGAACGAGTGTTTGAGCCTGTGAACAACCAATTGCATTAGCAAGAGCTTACTGCGTACTTTAGGCGCAATGAACGACTTACCTGCTCGGTCATGATACGAGTAAACTCGGGATCGCAGTGGCCAAGACCATTGACAGCGATGCCGGCAGTGAAATCAAGAAACTTGCGATCCTCCGCATCCCAAAGCCACGAACCCTTTCCCTTGATAAATACGGGTGGAGGACGAGCATATGTGGCAACCATATAAGGCGCATGCTCGCCCACCATGGCAGCGCTCTTGGAGTCGGACGCGACGTCGGCATTTGGCAACGAAGCAAGGCCTCGACGAACAATACGAGGACGGGCGACGGCGCAGGAGCTGGCCAATCGAGCGCGGAGAGGGAGTCGCATAGCCATTGTTATTACGTATTTTCCAACTTTATAAATTACAAACAGAAAAAAGTACAAAGAAAGAGGGAAATGCGAGATTTGCAGGATTGTTGTATTGATCTGGAGGGGTTCTACGAGAGAATATTTGTGGCTTTATCTTATCAATCGCCTCCGCTATCGCAGGTTGATTTGTGACGCTACTTAACTGTATTTGGGCAAGTTACTCACAATTGGGAGCCACTCAAGCTGCTATGACAAGGAAGGGTCTTGATTATGGAGACCTTTTTGACTCAGGGTATGGAATCATTCATGATGTAGTGTTCCTTACCCCTGTAAGTGGTTTTCAGGTCTTCTAAGGCGCGCCTTGGTCTGGACAGTTATTGCACTACGCTTTGCGATCTCACTGATCAGTTCTACTGACTCACATTGTACTCATCGCAGACGAATGTAAACATCAAAGACACCTTCATTCCTAATAAGAACGCAGCACGACAAAATTGTATTAATAACCCCAACGATGACTCCATAGTACTGCGTATTCGCAACTTACTCTAAACACCCGATTGCATGATACGAGACCAAGAGTGCGATAGTCCCAACCTATGTATACAAACCAGCCAAAATGAACTGCTAGCATGAGCGCCACCATAGTCCCTCGCGCACAACCAAACCTAGAAAGGCCCAGAATCGACTTCGAATAAACTGAAAATGATGTACATTTCTCTGGCTGTTTTAAACAGCACTGTATCCACCTCGACTGCCCGTTCCTTGCACAGTGTTTAGGATCCGGCGAATAAAATCCTTGAGTAGGTAAGGAATGTCGCGAATGGTGTCGCTGTGAGGGAGAAGATCCCAACCTCTAGCGCCGTAGCGGGTGAAGTTGATCCAGGACGAGAAGATGAGGTAACCAGCGATAAGCAAGAAAGCGCTAGATATGTTAGAAAATTGTTGCAAAAGTCAAGGCTGGGTATACTCACATGAGGACAAACCAGGTGAAGAATCCCCAGTGGGAACTGGAGTTATCTCCGTCATCGTCGCTGCCACCACCACCGCCGTCCTCTCGCTTTTCGCAAGCATATTTGGTGTGCCATGTCAAGCGCAAAATTCTAGCGTCCTTCTCGTTTTCAAAACCATCCCAGATAAGGGTAGCATTCTCATGCTTGAGCTGGTGCTCGAGAGTAGATTCGCCCTCGTCCTTGTCACCGCCATCCTCCTTCTTGTCGTCGTCCTTCTTTTCGTCGGCTCGTTTCTCGTACTTTTCCTCGGAAACCCACTCGCCTTCTGTTCCTTCCTTTTCAGGATCGCAAAGAAATTCAACGATGGCCTTTTGATCGGTCTTCTCCTTGGAAGGGCCAGATAAAGGATCCTTGCCTCCTGTGAGAACAAGTCGCAAACCCTCCTTCTTCTTGTCCGAGTTCGACTCGGCCGTGCTCAGTCTCGTAGGAGTCCATTCGAATCGAGATCCACCAGCGTTCTCGAGGTTTCCTGCGATCGCGACGATGTCCGTAACTTCGTCCTCTTCTTTCTTGTCGCCGTCAGACTTGAGAAGATGTGTGATGGCGCAAACTAGAGGTGGTCAGTTGAAGCTTTACCATCTTAGTGGACCCTAGACATACCTCGAGTGCCGTTTGGGCATTCCGACTTGCTTCCTCCGCTTTTCTTCAACGGCTTGCAAATATCTAATGTATAAGTTGTGTTATAATGCCCCGCTGGGTTAGGCTTGTACCGCGTCGTCACAACTGAATGCGGTCCACCAAGCTTAGAAAGATCGAATGTGTGTCCATCGGCACGGATCTTTGCACAGTCGAGGGTCTCTGCAGCGAAGGCTGGCACAGCCAGCAGAGGCAGTAAAAGTGCCAGTAGATCCGGCCGATACATCGAGAAGACGTGGAAAGAACACGGAAGCCGAGATAGGGATAGACGTTAAGCGATGATACCGGGAGGACGGGATTGCGGATTCGAAAAAGGTAGATGCTGGAAAGCCGTTTCGATGCTTGAACGAAAGAAAAGACTCAACTAAGTAGACTCTCCTGCGTATGCCTTGTGATAGAAAATGCGTGATGAAATGGTCACGTTGCCTTGAGCTGCTGTATCGCGGATTTATTGAGAGGGTCAACGATTGGATGAGGTAAACTAAGAGCTCCCTCAGTCTTGGCGGTTGTGTCATTCCGCGTCGCAAGCTGCGTGCACGTGACAGCTCTCGAGCCACCCAAGTAATGTCAACCTCTATAGTACTAATCTAGACTACCTACTAGGTAAGCAAGTATGAAGATGCTTTAGGTTAGTATCTACTAAGTGAGTGCATGAAGCATAAAAGACGAAAGGTGAACAGATTCATGCCATTTTGGAACAGACTCCAAGGTCATCTGTTTCTGCACATTCAAGAAGTTAACTGTTGTTCCGTTACCCTGGCTCAATAGATGACTAAAATAGAATACTTCTTTTCTATTCAGTCAAATCTGTTCCTTTACGCTGACTTTAAACCTTGTTTGTATCGCAGAAGACGACGAATTCTTAAATAATCCAATTGCTCCTAGTGCATGCCCGTGCCACCACAGACGGCCGGACTTGCTTACCGCTGTATCTATTACACATCATGTCCAGTAGCACGGACAACCTTAAAGACAGTTACAAGGCCTTGACAAAAACCCTTGATCCGATTCGAACGCTTCCCGTGGGGTATATCTGCCCAAACTCGTAAACCATACCAAAAATAATAAAAATAATAGAACGTCCTGAACTCCAAGGTCACTGATCCCCTCCCTGTTCTGCGATAACATTAACTCTGCCCATCATCTTTGTAGTCCCTTTTGGATCATCACATCCCCTGGCCACCCATCATGCCATTCATCCCTTGCATCTGCTGTTGCTGCTGCATATGTTGTTGCTGCATCTGCTGCTGCATCTGTTGCTGCTGCTGCTGCATCTGTTGCTGTTGCATCTGCTGTTGCTGCATCTGCTGCATTTGTTGTTGCTGTTGATGCTGTTGTTGCTGCTGTTGTTGATGCATCAGCATTTGCTGTTGTTGGGCCTGCTGCCTCCGCTGGAAGCTTTGCTGGACAAGATTTGTAGCTTGGTTCATACTCGCAGTCTTCATCTTCTGCATTAGATCGGGCGGGAATTTGTCGGGAGACCCATGCTTGATAATTGCCTGGTTCAGCATCTTTTGATAGGCTATTCTGGCCTGCTGCTGAATTGAGGCCTGGATAGATGGTTGTCCCATCTGCCCCATTTGGTGTTGGTTCTGTTGCTGCTGCTGTTGTTGGGCCTGCTGTTGTTGGGCCTGCTGCTGCTGGGCCTGTTGCATTGCTTGGAAAGCTTGCATGTTGATGTTGTTTCCATTCATCATCTGCTCGCTGACTTGACGCTGCATCGGACTATTGCTCATCTGGGCATTCATCTGGTTCATGCGCATCATTTGTTGCAACTGTGCTTGCATTTGCGGTGGGAATTGCCGCATCTGGTTGCCCGACATGTTCTGCATTTGCTGAGCATACTGTGCAGCCATCTGCAGTTGCTGCTGTTGCTGCTGTTGTTGCTGAGGGCTCATCATATTGCCTTGCTGCTGAGCCTGCTGCTGGGCAATGAGTTGCCTCTGCATAATCTGCATCATTTGTTGTTGCTGCTGTGGGGTCATCTGAGACACGTTACCATTGTTCATGCTATTTTGCATTGCCGCCAACTGCTGCTGCTGCTGCTGCTGTTGCTGAAGGGCACGTTGCTGCGCCAGCTGCTGAGCAAATTGTGGATTTTGCTGGTTCATGCCTTGGTTATTCATCATGATGCCTTGGCCTGGCTGCGAGTTCTGGGCCATCATAGCTGGTGGAGGGCTGACCTGCGTCATGCGGGGAGTAGCTATCATAGCAGGCCTGTTGATAGGCGTGCCTTGGGCCATGTTAGGCGTTGAATGAGGCATTCTAGGGGTACCAGACGGGTGGCTCTGCTGACTGCCCCTTGAAGACATGTTATGCGCCATAGGAACGGACATGGCGGCCGGGTTCTGAACAACAGAAGACGGTCGTGGAGGGCTGTTCGCCATGCCAGAGTTGGTCTGTTGCATAGGAACGCTTCCCACCATTGGGGATGACATGTGCTGAGGGGTGCCCTGTCGAGCCACTGGGGAAGACGCTGGCGGTTGTGAGATTTGAGCCTGAAAGCGAGGCTGCGCTTGTGGAGGCATGTTGTTGGCCATTTGAGGCGTTCCCGCACTTGCACTATTGACTCCATTGGTGATGGGATTCTGAGGATGGGCGTGTTGTTGATTCCCGTTGAGCCGCTGACCATTTTGACTGGCCTGGTTGGTCTGGTTTGCGGCTTGCGCACGAGCTTGTTGTGCCTGAGCCTGAGCCTGAGCCTGAGCCTGTGCCTGTGCCTGAGCCTGTGCCTGTGCCTGTGCCTGTGCCTGAGCCTGTGCCTGTGCTTGTGCTTGAGCCTGTCGTTGCTGTTCGGCCTGTCGCATTGAGGTCTCTCTCGCTGCAGCCTCGCGGCGATTTCGATCCTCCTGGGCTAGCTTCTGGGCGCTCTGAACAGCCTCTTGCTGCATTTGCGCTCTCTGTTGCTGCAGCTTCCGATCCGCCTCTTGCTGCTTGGCCTTCTCTTGCTCCTTCTTTTCGTTGTGTTTCGCTTTGATCTCGTCGAGAACCTTGAAGCGCTCAAATCTTGGCTCAAATGTGGATGCACCAGTTGAAGCATCCACGTCCGCTGTACCACCGTTCTGGGCCCCGTTCGCACTGGATGCTGCACGTGGGTCCGCAACAAGCATGAATCGTTCTGCACCTGCAGCCTGGGCTTCGTATGCGGCCATCTCTGCACGAGTTCGCTTACGAGTCTTTGGCTGTGGAGGGGCATGTGAGTGCTTGGGATGCCTCATTGCTTCAAGCAGAAGGATGTTTTCTTCTATTGTCCTTGTGGGCTGAAGTACTAAGGGCGCGTTTGTGGCCAACAGAATCTGACCCTCTGCCTCGTGTATATTGCTACCGTCGAGTTCTGTCTTTTCGCGCTTCTGGCGCTTCGCCGGTGGTGGCATGGTGGCAGCAGTTGGTGTTGGTGGAACCAGGGACATAGGTGTCGAAGGTGGTTGACCTGACACGTCATTCATTCCGTGAGGGGTAGAAGCTTTTATGAACAAATCCGTCTGTAAGCTTTCCGGTGTTTGATGGAGAACGATAGTGTAGACAGCAGGCTTTTTAGACTTTTCTTTTTGGTCCTCCGGTGGCGGCATAGGGGAGTTTTCCTTTTCTGCCGTGTTGCCCGCCTTCGCCTTCCCGTCTGCAGTGGACGAGCTTTCCTGAGGAAAAGGAACATTAGGGGACGGTGTAAGCCATTGATTGTAGTTATGGATGGATGATAACACCGCAGATCCCTTTGCTGATTTTGGTTTGGCAATATCCTTGGCTTGGGCAAGAGATTTATGATCGTGGATCTGAACTATGAGGCACCCATCGTAAAATGGCACACCAGCTTCATTAAAGTATGGTAGAAGGTCATGTGGGACAGTCCGGGCTTTGATATGTTCGAGGAAGATTTTCATAGGCGATTTGTATGAGAACATGCCATCCTGGTTGTCGAATCGAAAATGCGTGGGATGTAAATGGATGATTAGGGAAGGAGGTTGACCGGCGAACTTGTTCAAGATATATGAATCTGTGACAACTTTACGGTCGTTAGCGCGCAAGCGACAAGTAATGCCTAACATAAACGTACCATATGGCCGAGGTTCCGCGTCGTGGGCTATTTGATCCGCCACCATAGACGCTGACCGCAGACCAGCACTGTTCCTAGAGTGCCGGCCTTGCATTTGCGATGCTGTTTCTCGTCGGGCTCGGTTGACAGGTCGGACGGATGATGCAGTGATCGCCCTGTCGCTGGCCGAGTGCGGTGGCTTCTTAGCGGACATTGATGGAGATGGAGATGATTTTGAGGGTGTTATCGCGCCGTTCGTCTGAATCCCAGGAGGTATAGGCCGCTTCACTTTGTGGGCGACATTTTGCTGAACGATGGGTCCAACAGGCGCCATCGTGACGAAGTCGCGCTGCGCCGCGGGGCCTGGCGATTATGACGATATCACAACCACACCTATCAGTTCGATGCTATTCTGATGATTAATCAATGCGAAAACATCGATGTTCCAATCGTAACGGCACAATGCCGGGTTCGAGGTGGATTTCGAACGATAGAGGTTCGTTGTATGTCGTCCGAGTGATGTGGAGTTGGCCGTCGGATCGCGGGAGAGGAACGCGAGTCTTTCAAAGAAGCGCAAGTTAAATATGACGGAAATGGTACATAAAGACAATGAGTATTAACATGAATTACTCTGTATCTGCGAGAAATTCGTTGCGTTGTATTGAAAGTTGGATATCATTCGATGATGTTGTACACCTGGTCGCCGCATCCACGGGTGGGTTTCCTTGGGGTGATGTTGGGATTACGGAAGGAGATCAGGTCACGTGCAAGAGTTTAGAACCAGTACAAGAATTACCTACTACGAAGAATGTTTTGGCGAGAATAAATAGAAAAGAAAAACGCTTAATTGAGTAGATCTTGATCTAGAAAGTAAAAACGCGTGCTTGTGTGTGTAAGAATTCTGACATATACTAAAACTCGAATACATATAAATAGGTTCATGGTATCTTGTGCTATGTCGCAAGACGCGTTGGCCTCACTCACGTCCCTGAACTCGACGCGCCCAATCGTCGTTTAGCCTCATACTATCAACAACCACAACTCCACGTCCCCTTCCAACTCGTTCAGATCGCTGCCACCACTCTTTACTGTTACTAGATCGCTCAGCCTCAGATTCGCTATCTGCCAAACCTCCAGAACCACCATCTGCACCAACAACCAGAATGACGTCATGTCGAAGCCAGGTCTGGAGAGTCGTGATGATGCTACCATCTTGACCAGAAAGGGCTTTCTGGAGATAGATAACTTCTGGTTGAAGGTGTCGCAGGATGTGAACATGGCCGTTTGATGTCGTAAAAGGGAGAACCATGGTTTCCTTCTCAACCAAACCCAATGCCTGCGAATAGATAGAGTTGAAGGCAGGGCTTGCGGATTCACTACGACTTGTCAGCATATAGTGTGGTTCCAAAGCTCGAAAAGCATACAGCTGGTTCTTGGACTCTTCAGCAGGAGTTTGAACTTGATCGTGTCCAATGTTAGAAAATGAAGAGCTTAGCGAAGGTGGCGGAAGGTTACTATTAGCAGTATCCAAAGCGGATTCCTTCAAACCAGGGGCGTAGATCAGAACGAATAGCTTGACCTTAGAGTGATCGATATGTCGAGGAATGTGGGAGAGGATAGACTGATGAACGTTAGAGAGAGAAACTCGAATAATCGGCATGTCAACTTACAGCGTGCTCATGGAAAGGATCCTCCTCTTCAGGCACGGCGCCTGTCTCGGCAGACACCACAATCGCAACCGTCTTGCGTCGCCTATTGCCGCCGATGTGTTGGGACGACGTATCGGCGGGCGCTCGTTCATTCTTAGCTTCTTCTTCCTCTTGCCAGGGGTTGGTATCGTCAAAGGGGCTCTTGTCCTCCTCGCGAATGGAGGCTAAAGCCTTGCCCATAGCTGCGCTTGCAGCTGCGACACCAGCCGCCACAGTCTTACCTGTCGAGTCGAAGAACTGCTGCGGGCTCGGTGTTCGTCGCAGAGCACTAGTCACGCGCGAACCCCAGCCTCCGCCGGTTGCTTCTTCGTTCGCATGCGCAATTCCGTGGCTTTGACCATCGGGTCTGGGTGGTTTCTCCGGTCCTTGAATGTCGCGCGAGCCGACATCGCGGGACCCATATGGTTGATTGTCGCCTCCACGGGCATGGTTACTGTAATCAAGACCATTGTCGTCTTCTTCGTCGGCGTCCTTTCGCTGGCTCCATACCCAAGCAGCCACACCTACAGTTGCGACAGTAAGTGTAACTGCGAGAGGCACCCAGTGACTCCAAACTCCTCGTCGCGAGCGCGATGATCCATGGTCGGGCGACATTTAAGCAGCGCGCTGTCGCATTGCTAGGTGGAGGGAATAGCGCCAATGGCAGCAGGCGCAAGGGGCCTTTTTATATAAACAAACAAATCTTCAATAATGCGCCGTTTCAAAGCAATTGCGTCAGGATGCACCGTTTAATGTAGCGAACCTCGAGGCGATTCTTCAAGATACCCGGTGGTTGGTGTAATCAGGGTCAATAACACAGTGGAGCGAGCTGCAAGCTGAGGCCATCTACCCCAGCAACAATCAGGTCAGCAGGTAGCCCGAGGGCCGACAAAGAGCTCAGCTTCCAGGGGGCTGAATTGCGGGGGACTATTTAATTAATCCGTACCGAGGTCGGAAGAACCCATCCACGTGAAGCAGGCGGAAGTCTGTGGCAGTGCAGCAAATCACCAGCCACAGGCGGGACACCACCACCCCACGTACGTACGTTTTTGATGTCTTGGCGATGATTGAGTGACTCTTCACTGTCTTCACTTCATGTTGACTGCAAACAACTCACGTCTGAATAACCAGATAGAATCGCTCACGAAATCTACAGCACTGATCTATAAGATCCCAGAACTCCAGCCAAAACTATCAGCTTGATCGTCACCAGCAGAGACCACCCTGGCAAAATGCCCCACGCTGTTTCGATGCCTTCAACTGGGCTTCAAGCCCTGATTCTTTGCGGACCTGGCTCATCGTTCCCGACCTTCACCTCCAACCCCGATGAGAGCCCAAAGGCCCTTCTCCCTATCGCCAACCGACCTATGGTCTGGTATGCGCTTGACTTTTGCTATAGAACTGGCATCACAGGTAAGTCGGATTGTGGTGTTTGACTCATCGTGGATCCGCATGGCTACAAGCGCTCTCGTTCACTCCCGACTTACTGAAAGCTTGGAGCTGACAACTTTCAGATATAAATCTTATCTGTCCACCCACAGCTTCTGCTGCTATCTCAACAGCTCTTAACACTAACCCTCACCTTACTGCTCTACCACTGCCACGACCTGACATCCTCTCACCGGTAGACTTGGATCAGAACACAGGCACCGCCGAGATCTTGCGACTACCTGAGGTCAGGTCGATTATCACTGGTGATTTTGTGGTTCTGCCATGTGACTTGGTTTGTGAGCTCGGAGGAGAGAAGCTTCTTCAGTCATGGATGGTCAAGTCAGCCAGCCTGACAGACATGTTGGGAACATCTAGACTTTCCAACGGTCATCGATCAGTTCACAGCGGTGCTCTTGGTGTCTGGTATGACACAAAGGCGGTTGCGCCAGTCAAGAAGGAGGAGACAGACTTTATTGCAACAACTCCATTGCCCACAACTCCTGTTACCCCACCGAGGGGGTCACTCTTCTCAAACCTGTCTAAGCTTGTTTACTCTATGCCAACTGACTCTTTGAGAGATCTAACAGGAGAGAGAGGCTCACTTCCTGTCCGTCACGGCTTGTTGCGTAATCACACTCGCGTGCGAATGTTTACGACACATCGAGATGCTCACATCTACATTTTCCCCCGATGGGTCCTTGATTTCATCAAGGATAACGAGCGAATGGAGAGTATCGGAGAAGACGTTATCGGATGGTGGGCAAAGGCTGGCTGGCAATCAGGTCTTGCTGAAAAGCTCAACTTAGAAAGTGCCTGCAGCCAAGGTCGGGTCGAGGAGTCAGAAGAGGATGAAGGTTCATCGTCTCCTAGAGACCCCAGCCCAGACAACATGCCTAGCTTAGGGAACCCAGTTTCCAGCGACGAGAGCACTGATGCAAAGACACCCAAAATTACAGTAGACAACAAGTCGAACTCTTTTGAAGTGCCACCGATTGTTGCTTACGTCCATCCTGGTGGAGGTTCCGCACCCTTGATTCGACGTGTCGATACTGCACAACTATTGCTCGCCATCTCGCTTCAACTGGCCAAACTCCCGTCACTCGAGGAGACTGGCGGAGAAGCCAGTTCGCCTTACGTTCACGCAAGGAAGATCGCTTACCCCGAAGGTGTGAAACCTCGTACGACCATCACCCAGAAGGACAGTCTCATTGCCGAAAACGTGACTGTCGAGGAGAAGACATCTATCAAAGAGACTGTGATCGGCGCCGGCTCGCAGATCAACGAGGGTGCCAAGCTTTCTCAATGTCTACTGATGGAAGGTGTAGTTGTTGGTAAAGCCTGCAAGCTGACTCGTTGCGTTATTGGAAAGAGAGCCGTTATTGGAGATGGATCCGTTTTAACCGACTGTGAAGTCCAAGAGAATCTACTTGTTGAGGCTCGAAGTAAGTTCCCTGATCGCCATGCCTTTCCATCCGCTAACCGGCAATCCCTGCACAGCTGAGGACAAGGACAACAAGCTCATGAGCTCTGAGGGGCTCGAGGCCACAGAAGCCGAGATGAATGAGGTGCTCCAGGACATGGAAGATGACGCTGAACAGGCAGTGATGGACTAGATGTAACCTAAACAAAAACGGGGTTCGATAAAATAGAGTTGGCAATATGGTACTTCGGTTAAAGACAACTTGCCCTGCCTTCCGCTTGGACTTTATCACCGTCCTCGTCGTCACTTCCAAATCATGGTGTTTTTAAGCATAGACAACGTTGTGTTGACCCTGGCATATCTGACTCGAATACAGCACTGTCAAATACGCCAATATGAGTCAGAAAAATGACAAGTAGGAATTGCCACCGCCAAGAGCTATACGCAACCAAAAGGACTGAGCATTGCCTGCTTTGCTTCGATCAAAGTTTAGTATTCTTGAGATTAGCTCTCTGGATCATTCGATTCAGAGGCATGATGCGGCGTTTACTTAGCACTACAAGGGTCAACCAACAGGTACTGTGTCTGTCAGACCGCGCGTCAGTAACAGATACAGTATGGTCGAATCAGATAATCCTTGTCTGGATTGAAGCTCGCTTCGCAGAAACTCTTGAAGCGAGGCCCACGATGTAACAGCCACGGGTCGAAATTCGTTGCGACTATTCAACGTTAGTATCCGATATCCATTCAGTCAGCCTCCCTTACCTTTGCTATTGAACAGTAATGCGCTGTGACTTCAAAGCGCACGGTTGATTCTTTACCCGGGTCTTTTGTTCAAGATGAAGAATTCTTCATCACCGACCCCCTCCTGGACATTGATATTCAACGACATACTTGACGAGGGCGCCACTGAACTGAACTAATGCACTGCGACTGTGATCAGGACATATAGGGTGTTTCAATAGTAAGTGTTTGCGCTTTGATGAAATAGCGGTTTTCTTAGTCTTGGAGAATTCTATATGGATTTTGGTCCACCGCGACGAGATTCGCAAGCAGCTGGCTCGTTAACCGAAGCGCCATATTCTCACAGTGATAATTTTTCGGCACTTGGGTTGTAGTCTCTGACGCCACTTTAGATATCACCTGCAGGGTAGTCATAGCTACCTATCTTCATCATGGTTTCAGGCTTATTCTACTTTTGTTGTTGAGCTGGTAGACACTAAGAAGGGTTCAGACTCCTGGAAGGCCCAAACTCAGGTAATAACAGAGAGGGGTGTCTCATGGGTAAACTACAATTGTAACTGTTCCTCTGTGCTGTTATTATGCATAGACAACCCAGGACTACTTCCAGAGTTAGATGCCCGTTGCTGAACGGCCCGTGTCACGGGTGGCTAGTTGGTTCATACCAGCACATCGTATGGGGGTTTCTGGCCATATTTTCTCGTTCTAGACCATGGATTGTACGAAGATTTCCACACTAATTGTAATATTGGCTGAGGTGGAAATGCCGGGTTAGTTGGAAAACGTACCTGACTACGAAGGTATCACCGTCTCCTCGTAAGCCATACGCCAGAACCTCTAGCCACCATGACACATAAGGATGTACTGGAATATTTCTAACCACGCCCTAGAACTTTGTGAGTCCAATGAAGAGATGAACTTTAATTGTGCTGTTCAAAACCGCCTGTTCAGGTCGTGATTCATTGCAAAGACAACCTTGGTTCTATGCTTACCCTACAGTTATATGTGTCAACTGCCAAATGATTCGTATGCAAAGCAAGACAAGATGTTTTGTAGTCGGGGGTCGCGTGAGTCCTTAGCGAAAAATGACTTTTACCAATTACTTTCCCATTGCGCACTTGAGCTGAGGTTTACGATTCTATGTCAGGCTCGATGATGGCGCAACCCAATGTGTCAATGGGATCTGACTCTTCTGAACTCTAAAATAGGTATGTCAAGACCAAATTGGCAAAGAACAACAGCTCTCGCTTGTTTAGCCCAGGGCTGTTTTCTAGTGGACAGATCGTCAGGGCCTTCTTTTACAGTTTACACCAGCCATTAGCTGCCGGAACCGACACATGTCAATGAATGCCACTACTAATAACGGTCAAACGGTCAATTTGAGCCAACATTCCGATACTATTGAAACGCGAATGTCATCTTGGTTTAAACGTCTTTGAAACAAAAGCTCATTAGAATCGATGGAGCAATTTCGACGGCCTTGAAGTGTGTATATTGTCCCAATAGGGAAAGGGTCCAATTATGTATCACGTCCCCCTTGCAATAACATATATCCAGAGAGGCAGTCGTCCCTCCATCCACGCTAATAACTCAGTGTGACTATGGGATCAACTTCAATCGCATGAATGGCGAAAACGACGTATTGTCCCGACGGTTAAATGCTGTGACACGTTCAAGATTTCTACAGCTTGTGGCGTCAACGGTCGAGTTCCTTAGAAATGCAGCAGAAAGACGCAGATGACGTACAGCCCAGGTTTCGGATGGCTGCTGCATCGAACAAGCCTCAAGTATGTAGGCGCAGATTGGAGCAGACAGGCAGGGAATGCTTCGGACCCCTGAGTATTCCCAGTCTGGTCCCATCTTTGGAGCGGGAGATTCACAGCGGATGTAACAGCGGCTGCGGTGTAACCCCGATCTTTGGAGAGCACCAAAACTGCCAGATGCCATTCAATCTCCAAAGAGGAGCACATCGGCGATCCGAAGTCACCTCAATTACATCACAAGAAAGAGCCGGCATCGGCCGGTCTAGATGCGACTTGCTGTCATGGAATTGAATCGCGACCGAGGTAGGTGGGCTGCAAAAATGGAACCCAGGTAATCATGGAGCCGTCTAATACCTGAATGTACTTGAATAACCTCCCTAGCCTTCAGCATGAGGATATGTCAGACTTAAGCAGCTAAGATACCTGCCTGAATAGGTAGGCATCTGGACCGAATGCTTTCGGTGGGAGCCCAACAGTCTCTCAGCCCTGAGAGTCTTAAAAGAGCCCGGGCCAGAATTCGTAGACCCCGGATGACGGTTCTTATGATGGAGAAGAAACGAGCTAAGGATTCCACAGCTAAAGCCGATTGCCTGCCCGCGGCAACATGGGCAGTAAGTTATCCATTCGTGTATCATATCTCAGTCCAACCAGGTGAAATGCTGGGGCCGCCGTGTAGACACCAGTTGTATTAACTTGTCGCAGTCTTGTCTGTCATACTTGTCCACGCCTGAACAAAAAAAAAAAAAAAAAAAAAAAAAAAAAAGCCACGGCGGGAGCAACAGCTAGCAGTTCACATGAAATGCCACCAATTCGTCAGCATTAACCCGCTTCTGACTTGAGGTACAGTAGTGTGGACGGCAAGCTGTTGATACTGCACGAAACCTAACAAGATAATAAATCGACCAACGCCGAGGGCGAGGGAGAGCAATAGTGTATGGGTTTTGCAAAGAGGGAGAGAGACTGAATTGGCAATAAATGGGACGCCAGATTGCCCAATAGTTATGGGGCAAAGGGATACGTTTGAGCCACGGCGATAGGCCAAAGTCAGTTCGACAACGTTGGGCTTCCTAGGGGCACAGTTGAGAAGATCCCCCAGCTGGCGTTACTAAGAAGCGGCCAGTCCTTCTATCCATCATTAGCGAGACTAGCTCCAGAAAAAGCACAAACGGCTGTGGAGTAATGTGCAGAGCATCTCATTACATAGTAAGTAGTGGTAGGCCAGTCCGTTAGAGAATATGACTGATCATCTTTAAAGTCTCGAAATCCGACACAGAAACTTGGTTGGTGTTGGGGACTGATGGCGTTTTGATGTGAGACCAAGACTCTGATTGGAAGAGAAACTCTGCGGATGAGAGGCCGAATCTCTGGTGAGACTCTGTAGATAGAGAGGTTATAAGTCTATGATGGCATGATGAACACAAGAGAGGAAGAGGAACTCCGACAAGATATCTACTTCTGGGGTTTACAGCTGTCAAGTTATCAAGTAGCTGAGTGTGATCGGCACATCACATATACTAACCTCTTGGCATAAATATCTATCTTTCTCGTCGGGTAACTCGTATGCGTACGTGTACTTGGACTGAGCGGCACCAACGGCGCTGGGGAAGCAGGCTGCATTGGCCGCATTATGGGCCTCGATTTCAGTCCTGCCAGGAAATAGTGTCCATTCAATTTGAGCCGAGCTGACGTTGTCGATGATCGGTCAGCGGAAACAGGGTATGACCTGGTGTAAGTGCTCGGAGCAGGCGGTATTGTAAAGTGCTTGTTGTTGAGCCTGGGCCTCGTTGCAATAGTAATCGCATTGAGATTGTACGGGAAGTAGATATGATAAGAAGCAATTCGGACCCAACAGAGGGGAACCCATTTCAGCCCTGGGCTGTATGAAGCGTCCATAACTTAGCTAGAATATGGGATGACAAGGGATTGCAGATGCTGGGTATGCAGTTGAATTACAATGGCTATGGATCAATTAAATGAGATATTGCCGTATATGGAAGGGGGCTGAAGCTATCATATTTCACGAGAAAAACCTGAAAATATGCTGCATGAGATTAAACTATTATGACGAATTGCACTGTTTCCCAATATTTAGGTAGTTTTCATTTGTGACCTACTGCACGTATATAGTGAGGGCAAGTACGATAGTGGGCGGCCATCCTCAGGCATCCAGTTAGTACTTTAGAATGACCCATTCAGTTGAGTCCTGTGTTCACAACTTCATCAGCTTCAGCTTCAGCTACTAGTATTCTGCGCATTGCTGTACCCAAAGGAGAAAAAAACTGATATATCACCTATAATCCCTGTCCCGCCCACCATGGGTGTCTTGCCAGCCATCAACAGCCAAGACGGGGGTGTGAAAATTCGTACCGTCCGATAGCGACTTCTGTGGGGCATCAGATCTACGAACGCCTCTCCCTGTCCTTGAACCCTGTTTTCGTTCCTAGATTTCTCGTGGATCGCTGGGTCGCTCCCCCGGAAGATCACCCGGCACTAGGCACGACAGACAGGACAGTGTCATTCATAGCTGACAAGGCAGATCAGACAATGTGGTTCTGCGATTCGTGGACGTACGACATCTCCAGGACTCTTATCTAGTGGTCGCACTACCGTCCCGAGCCTCGCGTTAGTGCTTGCGCCAGACACTCACGCAATCTACTAACTAACGTGGTGTCTCCATTTGTCCCTTTGTTATGCCCTCACCCTTATCACAGACCCGAGCGCGTTCGCGTTCACAGGGAGCGCAGCAATTAATGAGCCAAGAATCGAAACGATAACCCCTCAACCCCTCCTTCGAATGTCCAGCATGGACTGGATAGAGTTGGAGATACTGGCAAACATGAACACAAAAGAAATGACAAACTCGAGGGCAGTCAACACTATTGACCTGACCACAACTCCGTCGACAAGAGCATTGAATTCGAATTGTCAGTACAATTAAGCACCAACATCAGCTCTGCCTGACCTTCGGCCGAACACATACTGTCATAGTCCTCCATTGGTGAGCAATCCTTACAGTCCATTATAATGCCAGTTGAGGTCGGGGTTTGTACTGTGCTGTCATAACACGCTCCGTGCGTGCAGCCACAACAGGGCCTTCCAGAGGAATAAGTCGACCCAGCTACGTTAAACAAAACAGGGGTCTATACCAGGTCGACGCGTTTTCAACTGTCAGTATGAACCTAATCTCTATACTCGACGGAGTAGCTAGCACGCACTACGAATGGTACCTTGTCCATTGATTTCGCCCCGCATAACCATCCAGGCAACTTCACTCCTGTCACATCCGCAAATTTAGCCGTTTTAGCGTCGGACTGTACTGCCCTCGCTTGCATTACCCAACTTTCGGATTCTTGACAGACAATCACCGACGACATCCGTCCCCGAAGCGCACAAGAACCCAACAGTTCTGGTATGTTATCTGAGGGGAAAGGTTGTGTCGCTGACAAAGAGGTGGCGGCCAACCTGTCATCCAATGACCAGCCTATGCTCTCTTGGACTCTTGGAAGACCTCCCAACCTGCAGTTTGTTTCCAACGCTCTGAGACGCTTCGTCGGATCAGGGTCTACGTCGATCTATAGAGGAACAGTAGATTGTTCTTCTGTGTTCGGATAAGAGTCTATCACATCATTATCTCTCCATTGATAATGCGCCGCCAGGAACAGCCGCAGGTCCCTTTCGTTTTGGGTGAGACCTGCATCGCGTATTGCTTTTCGTGCATAGCACATTGCTCTTCTGTGTTGGTTAACTTTTTAAACTCCACATCTTCACCTGTCTGCGGAGACATTGCACCATCATACCCTCTTGCCTTCAATCCAAGGGAGTCTAATATGGAGCACCAAAGACCACGGTACGGGGCATGTTTCTCTAAAGAAGCTACACATCCAGGCACACTCAGGAACAGCAACTTTATGTCCTCTCAACACGAGTAGACCTGTCTCACCTCGAGGTCTTTCTGAACGTGGATTTCACTTGCCCCATTCCAGGCCTTGACCATTCCTCGACAAGCTACCCATTGCAGTCGGAGGCAAGTAAGCTAACAAAGGAAAAGACCTACTATGTATGTACAACAGACTTGGGCCACCCACAAAACCCTTTACAATCGAATTTCCAGGATTTTGACTAGAGTGGGCGTGCCCGACATCTTGTCAAGCCCAGTGGCTGATGCGCGGATGTACGAGATGGAGGGTTGGCGTCAGTCCTAACCGTCCACCCCTGGGGTTATGTTCGTCCATTTCATGCAGGGACCGAATCTGTTACCTCTTTGACTTCGAGTCTTTTTCATCTCTCAGTGCTGGTCGACACATCGCACACCACTCCCGTTCTTGCCAGGATCCGCAACATGGTCCAGGGCCTCAGCACAACAGGGGCAGGGTTTCGTCAAGGGGGGTGGTCCCAAGCCTAGACGAGGAACCACCCCAGTGTCAGGGATGTGGTCTGGGCACGCCCACCTTACTCCATATCTCAACGCTTAGTCAAGTCGGCTCTCACAACTATGCTATGCGTCTTTGTTCTTGTCAAGCACCTTGTTCCTATTTTTCGAGTAGTTGCCATGCCTAAGCTTGGCTTGAGCTTTGGTCAACTGCATAGAGGAAGCAGCTTGGACTAAGTTCCCAGCTCATCATAGGTCCTTTTCCTAATTGCCCTGTTGTCGTTTAGTTCAACTATTTGACAGCTAGTCTGGCCCAGGTGAGGGCGTTGAGATCCTGGCGAAACATACTCAGGGACGGTTTATCTCAACTGACACATCCTCACCCAAAACATTGCTTCTCTCTATGCGAGCAATAAACCCACTTGTTCATGGTGGATCACGCCTCTCCCGCCCTGCCTGTCTAAACAGAGATCTCGATCTGAATTTGAACCAAGACTGTTGACCCTGGCTAGCATTCTTGCCCTTGATTTACTTTTATCATAGTAGTGTCTCGCGGGTCCCCTACTAGCTGCACCGACTGTGATCAGGGATCTGCGGGTGGTTGAGTTTATAGTCTTGTCTGTCTTAAGACCATAGGTCGAAGCAGTGTACTTCATTCCGCCGCATATCTATATCTTCAAGGGCGTCCGTCCCCAAAGACGAAAAAGCATTCCCGTTCAGACTCACCAGACAATTGAACTCATCCAACCTTTCAATTGTTCTACTCAACTCTTACACGAACGTTGAACACTTTCACCCTTCTTCAACTTAAGACATATTCACATACATCCTTAAACATCTCTCACCTCTTGACCCCTTCTACCAAAACTCCTCCGTATCAAGATGCAGTACGAGGCAGATTTCCGATTTGACATGGATGACAGCTTCAACCTGTGCAGCCAGCCCATGTCCTGCCCCTCGACCACAACAAGCTTCTCTTCAGCTTCATCGGCTTACGACCCTTTCACTCCTACATCACGACGTTCAACCCCTCATGAATTTGGCAACATGGACTTTGACAGCCCTTACAACTCAGTCTCTCATCGAGCTGAGCTGACTCCTCCTTCCTCAGCAATGGGCAAATACATGCCTGGCCCCATCAAGTCTGAGCCCGAGCACATGTCGTTCTCTGACACTCTCCCCAACACACCTATGAAGCGAGAGGGGCTTGGCTTCGAATATGACCACATGATGGACATGAATATGGCTCATCATGGCTCGATGGGATCTGTAACACCATCAAACTCCTTTGGCATGTACTATTCCCCGGATGCCTCTTTCATGATGACACCAACCCAAAGCATCTCAGGATCTGAGGCTGCAGAGACTAGCTCATCATGGTCTTGTGCCAACGATAGCCCAATCTCCTTTTTCACCAACCGACAGCTTTTCAACGGCCCTGACTCGTTTGATCTTGACCGACACTCGCAGTCTCCCCTGGGATACCCCCTTCATGAGATCAACTCTCCGAACTGCATGAAATCTCAGAGATCGATGATTGTGCACGAGATTCAGCAAAAGACCAACGAGCTACAGCGAGCTCAGATACGATCATCAAAGAAGCGATCCATCAAGCCTGACTCTTCGCAAGTTGACGTGGTTCGAAGAGCCATGTGTAAGTGCGATTACCCTGGCTGCCACAAGGCTTTCCGACGAAACGAGCACCTGAAGCGTCACAAGCAAACGTAAGTTTATCGTAGTTACTCTATGTCTGAGTATAGTGGCTAACAATGAATAGCTTTCACGGTGAAGGACCTAATCGTTTCTCGTGCGAGTTCTGCGGGAAGGACCAGTTCAACCGCCAAGACAACCTTAACAACCACCGCAAGTTGCACGCACGACCTAACAGCCGTAACCGCGGCGTGGAGTTTATCCCTGCTGCAGTCCCAGTGATCGAGCAAGAGGAGCGAAGCAGGAAGCGACGAGCACCATCAAAATCTAAGACTGGTGAAAAGCGGAGCTCAGACTACTGAGCTTGTCTCCCTGGTTCATCTAGGTCGGGTACCTTACTTCAAGGACATTGCCAGTCGCCACTGAAGAGAAAAGAGAAGAGTTGAGGGCGCCACATTCATATGAGACATCAGCGCTCGACCCGCTTTCTTTTCTCGATCGGGGACCCACACATAACAGACAGACACACACACTTACATATTTGTCCACACCTACACACCACGATACATAAAAACGGAGCCTGGAAAAAGAAACACTGCAGCATCTGCAGTCCGGCCGTCATCTTGACGCCTCCGCGTCAAAGACTCAGGAGCGAGAACAATACCAGGAAAGATACTGGAAGAGTCTTTTCCAAGGCAAGATGTTGTAATTGCATGTACGATTAAGAGACGGCGCAAAGGATGTATCTGGTTGGCTTTACTTTTGCATGATTACGTTGTTATCACACAATATGGTGTTTTTTTTATTTGGCGTTTACTTGGAGGTTCTCTGATTTCTTGGCGTTGTGGAAATTTCTCGTATTTACTTGTTCTTTTCGACTTTACTACCATTTTATTTATCTTGAGAATCAAAACTGCGGTTTAAGTTGCCACAGCTCAGATTCAGTAATGAAAAAATTACTCAAACACAAAATCTTTCCACGCATTTGCTCCTGTGAATAATATCGATGCGGGGGTCAGCGCCATAGCTGGCACAAGAAGGATATGGGCAGCGAGTTCGACATCCAGCTGTACTTCTGCCTGAAAATTTGCTGCATTTGCTGAGGAGCAAGTCAAAGCTGGAGCTCAAATTATTGCATACAGTGTTTGATTATCGAGGCATGTACATGTTGGACGATTGGTCGACATACGCAAGGTCCAAATTAACCAATGGACGTTATCCTACGTATTCCTACAGCATCTGAGGTTTGGAAGATATCATAAGTGACGGACCATGGTTGAAAGAAAAGGCTTGGAGGAGTTATTACGCATCAGGCGTCCAGGTTGCGTTTTTAGTCGGCACATGCCATGAATTCGCAGCAAAAAATGGACAGAAGGATCCCATAGTATATGTCTCAGATCTCTGGGCACAGCAGCCTGCCGATCCGCAAGTCACCTTTCTGGTTGAGAGACCAGTCCCGGACCGAGGAGCACTGACCTTGCTTCCTATTGCTTCTGACGAGGAGATTCCGATTCAGTGTAACATCCCTTCCCACTGCGCCGGGACGGCCCCAGGTTTGCTTTTGAGGCTGGGAGCAGGGGTTATAAAGTACGTACCTACACTCGAGGCCCCCGATGGCTTTCGGATATGATATATGACAGATAGGGATTGGAAGAAGGATCAATCTGATGTGGCTAGTGAACAAGCCAGACACAATTGGCGGCTCAAGATTCCGAGTCAATGTATAATTGGTTGTTCGTGTCTTAGCATTAAGATTGATCTGGGTCGCGGGAGCTCAGAAAAGAAACATGTCAAACGGTTTCTGATTTGCAAATCGCGAGGCGACTGAGACGGGGGGAATGCCAACGGTCTTTGCTACCTTTCCGAGGAATGTTGATTTGACGAGATGGTAGGGTCAATCTACTAAACTATTACATTGCATAGGTACACCGCACAACGAAGCTATAGTTACTCACTAGTGCAGTCCACTGAGATTATGTAGGCTGAATTACTCTCAGCAACAATTCAAATGGGGAACAGAACTCTTTTGAACTAAAGATGCCCGGCTTGTAGGCTTCACTGCCGGTGGTGGGGAGACAAAAACTCCTACCTGTTGAGGAAAATCACTGAGTTTGCTGGCCATTCACAGGTTGTCTCTACTCCACGATTGTCCAGGGGTATGGGGCTACGCGGAGACATGATCCTGCATAAATAGTGCCGTTACATAAAATGGATTAGGAAGCACAAGGCCTAATTCAGTAGGGCTACAGGGAGAGGTATGCAACCCGTCTTATCACAGTTGCTTGGAGTTTCCATTCTGGGGAGAATAAAAAGTGCTAGGCTAGTTTGTGATATGATAGGCAAGGAGACATGGAGGATGTGAAATGGCAAAACCTGACGGCACGTTGATGACTTGACTTGACGTGACATAATATGATATGATATGATGTTGTAGGTAATCTATAGCAATAATGTGATACTTGGCCTGCCGATCCTTGGTGTAAAACAACTACTCCGGGATCTAAGTTACGTCAAAGCTCACAAACAGAAGGGATCATCCAAATTAGTGCTTTGTTAGGTTGAGCCGTTTAAGGGTCATTTGCATAGTGTATAGTAGTGTATAGCTTGTGTTATGATTCATATCCACTCCAACACAAGAGTCTAGTTGGCTGCCCTGGATGCCATGGCTGAGATGGAGGCTGATACAAAACCCTTGGACCCTTTATTTTGCTCTCGTAATGTTTTGCGGCACCGGTTAAGGTTTCCCAGCCTGCTGCACAAACCCTTTCCCCCCCTTGACTAACTGCAAAATGAACGAGGTTCGCATGAGGATGAGACCTGGCGTCGATCAGGGACCGTCATGGTCGAATTAGTATTTGTCTTTGTGGAATGAGCTGAGATGAGACCCAACAAGACGGGACTGACAGAGAGGGGAAGAATTTACTAGAACCTGACACAACGTGATATGATCGACTTGGACTCGAGATCGCCTCTTTTGCACATTGAGGATTGGGACTTAACCTATTCTGGATTATGAGATATTTGGCCATTGCGCGTTTGCACAGGAGAATTCAGACATGCCGATATTGTCAATTTACCCAACCTCGAGCTGAGAAAAGAGGAGAATCTGACAAGTAATATGTTTTGGATGTCACTCTTAGACCAAGTATTCACATCGCATCTCGGAATAACTTGTCCTCGCAATACCTCGACCTTGTCACAAAAACAGAAGAATACGACTGCGAATCTTGGTAAGTCACATGTCATCTGCCTGCCTGTCAAAGAACCCTGCAAAGATCAAAATGCTAGCAGATCGGGAATAAAGGAAACCCCGACAAAACCCACTGTCGCTAAAAGAAGACCGGCGCTGAAGCTAATCGGGGCAGGGGGGCAAGGAGACAGGGGACAAGACTAAGTATTATTGAGTTGCGGGAAAGGCTTCACTTTGTGGTGGGGGGCGTTGTTTTCTTGGCCCTCTGGCGTGCGCCCGCAGTTTTGACCTGACCCTCGATAAGTCTGTGTGTTCCGGCACTTGATCAAACAGAGTTTGGGCGGACTTTGAGTCTATCGCACAAACATGGAAATTTGACGAATTGCATATGTTGATTTAGTTTTCTGGCTACTGTGCCGTATGTGAGGGAATATTCAGTGCAGTGGTGGCAGATTTAGAATATATTTAGTTCCAGTCAGAGTTGCCAAGTATGGAAATACATACTGACGCCCCTGCAATGCACTGTAGATCCGATACTCAGCCAAAGCCGACAGACAGATATAGAGTAGAATAAATGATGTGTATTATATCAAACTGATCTACGCCGGGTTCTTCATCATCCGAACTGGGAAAACTTGGCCAATGCAGGACTTGGTCAACAAAAAGGAATAGAGCTGACCAAGCTATTGCAGTTGGGGATGCATGATCCAAGGCTATGGTTAATCATACTTCCTCTTTTCTTCTTTTGCGGTTGTCGCAGGAATGCAAACATGTATGGTAGTCGTGCAGCTACTAATTAAAACAAATGAGTTGTGATAGTGTTCTATGATGCGTTTATCATACAGAAAGAGACGAGGAATAAAAAATAAATAAAATGCTAACTCAATTGGGTACTACATTTGCCCACGATCCCTGTATTGTCGTCTGTATGTAGAAAGTTCAGTGGAGTGGTTATCGTGTCACTGTGGAGGGGGCGTCTTGGCTGAGGCTGATTTTGTGCAGTAGCAGCAACAGATTGCATATGCATTGCATTGCATATGAACTACTATCTGCGACTTGACAAAACGGAAGCCGGGATATGGGTTCCGCCATCTAGTTGACCTCGTGGATGGTTTGTTTTGCAAAATATGATAGATCGCGGGGAAAGAATGCGTAGAATTGGTTGGGCTTTGGTAATGAGAGACAGGGGATATTACCTGCATTATTACGGATACATGTTTATTGTGGGATTGGACTAGATATGATTGCAATGCAAGATACAGTACATGGATGGGGTGAGAATGATAGCTCTCTTGTCTGTTACCATGTACCGAGTCTGTCAAACTCGCAGCGTTACATCGATCTCGGAGTGACAGAATGACAGGAGCTTGTTAGTCTGCAGTTGACATGAAATCATACGTCAACCTGACCCAACAGGTAGCACTGATGACAGCAGGCACTTATCAGTGGGATTATCACCTAAACCTGTTAAAGTATGACAGTACAGTACACTGTTTATCCGATCACACAGTAGACTGGTGGCTGATTTACCCCTGTAACTTCTGATCTTGGCAGCTTGGCACCGTTTTCCAGTGGCTTGTGCCTGCCGTGACCATCGGCCACAGCGTCAGAGGCGGCCTGAGCGGAGGTAGTGTCTGCTAACCAATAGGAACAACCAAAATAACGGCCTCTCTCCGACCATCATCAATCTCCACCTCACCTCTTCTCTCACATCATCAGCTGAGGAACGGAGCCTTTTTATCAGCCTTTGTCTGAGTGGCCTACCTTTGATCTTCAGAGACCCTATTCCTATAGTCTGTCCATACCGTTTTGGTACTATCCTGCCTGCCCGTTATCCAGTTCGCCGAACACTGGTTACTTCCCTACTGTGGTCCAATGTCAGTCAGTGTAAGCTGCTGCATTGGGTCGTGATGGCTTCGCTTCCATCCTACCAAGACGCAGTGTCCCCAGACTGGATCCGTCTTGTTATTCCATACATTCCACCAAATGACTTTGCCGCTCTTTGCCGTGTAAATCGTCGATTCTGGGAGATATTCGCCCCGCGAATATGGGGACGTCTTCCGGGCACGAGCTCAGACAGAATTGCAGGTTGTGATTCAGAACATGGTAAGCCCGCGCGAGCCGAGCAGTGCGACAAGTCAACGTAGTCTACTTTTTTCAATCAATTTCTCA